TAACATTATTAGCTCAGGAGCTAATGCTAAGTATAAGTATATACTGTATAAGTATTAACTCAGGCATTGACGCAAAATTTAAGCTGACGTTCTCCTTCCATGAAGCAGCTAGTAAACGTCGTCATTTACTCTGCATTCTTTGTGGCGTAAATAATATGGTGCTCTTCGTGTGACCTTTTTTTTCCAGTTTAAAAGAATTAAACAGCTTAGACTGTTTCAGGATGACTACATTCAGAGCCACATTAGTAAAAAAACAACTTTCCTGTTCGTTTTGACCCAGTTAGAGTCCATCACTGTAGTTTTGCTGGTGATTGTTATTCGTGAGCCTCTTCCACGTTATTTTGTGACGTTCTGCAACATAATGTTTCAGTTTTGCTGGCGCTTCACACAAACACGCAGTACTCAGGTCACGGTGTGTCGTCATTCAAAGCACCAACCTTTTTTTTAGCAGCATCTATTTAATCAATGAGTGACTCATTCATAAAAACAAGGAAAAAAGGAAATTCTGAGTGCTTTGAACTCTGTGACCTTAAATGTCTTGCAGCAGTCAAGCCTGTGAGTGTGATTTTATTAGATCACGCCACAGCTTCGTTATCTGTCTGTCAGCACCTGTTGGCTTTAAAGAGGTGAAACAGGAATGCACGTTCTGTCAGAGCTGGCTTGTGTTTTTGTGATTGCTTTGATACTACAATCAAAAGGTTTTTTTCTTTTCTTTCTTTGCTTTAGGGGTGTTTTCCAGTCCCTTGTATCAAAGCATTTTCCTTCAGAGAAGCAGAGAAGGGAGAAGGCACCAGGGAATAAAAGAAAACGTAAGTAAATTAAAGGCTTGTAAATGTTATGTACCACCTTTTAGCGCTCACATTAGGTGATGCTAATGACTCTCAGCTGCTAGTACACCTAAGTTTAGTTCAGTATCTGGTAAATTGGCTAAGTAATAACTATCAGAGCTGCACGATTGAGATTTTTTTCTAACCCTGCAATATTTCTTATAATATGAAAAAATACAGGAATTTTCAACAATCGACTTCAATAAGGGCCACATCCGGCCCGCCTAGCTTTACGCGATGGTTAAARTGTTCTTGTTCTGCTTTGCGTTTTTCATTTCAACCTCCCTTTGTATCTCCCAATCAGGGAAGCCCAGAGTTCGTCAGGTCAAAGTGCCCAAGCACACAGTGGACAGCGGCGGCGTGATCAACATCTCAGACGACAGCAGCACCGACTCGGACGGCATGGACACAGACTCTAACTCCTCGCCAGATTCCCTGCAGGACAACGACGACGTCATCTTTGTTCACCACACCAGCTGCCAGTCAGGTGGAGGTTTCCCCCTTGATACTGTAGCTTCGTTCTGAAGCCTCGCAAGTTTAAGATTTGTGTTTCTCACTTGGGTTGGGCGAATAAACGAATGAAAGTTTACCTTTTGAGCCTTAATTAAAAGTCAGTACAGGGCTTTAGAGAATCGATACAGTATCGGGAAATGAAATATTACAATATTTTCAGGGTATCGATTTCTTAGTGATTTGAACCAGTGGAGAAGTGGTTCTGAGTAGTGCGGTTGACTGAACTGAGGATAAACTACATACAGGTGGACGGGGGGCTATACGCAGCATGCCAAGACATAGGTGATGGTGAGATTACTTGGTCTGTCGCTCTTTCCAAAAAAAAAACCTGCTGTGTGACTATTAATTGTATTGTTGGACTGCCGATGGCTTGCCWAAACTTCTTTCACTCTTAACCAGGTCATAGAGTTATTGTTGCGCTCTTCTTTGTCTTCACAGCCAGGATAGAGGAAATGAAGCAGAGCCTCCTCAATAAAATATCAGAAATAGGAAAAGAACTACCTCTCAACACGTTGGACGTGCTCATTGATAAGTTTGGAGGACCAGATAAAGTCGCTGAGGTATGAATTTAGCTGTCAATTTATTTATTTACTCTTTTTTTTTTTGAAGAGTACGTTTGCAGTGATAATTTATGTGCTTTTTTTTTCTTGTTGTTCTCAAAGATGACGGGCCGTAAAGGCCGTGTGGTGCGACGTCCGGATGGCAGCGTACGCTACGAGTCGCGGGCCGAGCAGGGCTCCACCATAGACCAGATCAACATCAAAGAGAAGGACCGCTTCATGACCGGAGAGAAGGTTTGTTGCCGGTGGACGCTGGCTCCATCTTGGTGGTTTGATTTGCTGTGGTCATTTCTAAAGGCACCTTTTTTCTGGCTCCTCCGGCAGTTGGTGGCAATCATCTCGGAGGCAGCTAGCTCTGGGATTTCCCTGCAGGCAGACAAACGAGTGAAAAACCAGAGGCGCAGGGTCCACATGACCCTGGAGCTGCCTTGGAGTGCAGACAGAGCAATTCAGCAGTTTGGTACGTCAAGAAATGTTACCTCACACTGGGACAATTAATTTATTTAGAACAGGACTTTTTGGTTTTGTATTAAAGGTTAAAGGTTTTCCCCACAGACCAAAAACATTTAGAATAGGTTTCCTTCAGGCCTAGGCCTCCTTTCTAAAAGAGGTATATGATCTCAGTGGGGTTTTCCTGGTTAAATAACAGTTAAAAAAAAGTTTTGCTTTTTTATAATTAGAAGAAAAACTTTGCACAAAAACTTTTCTGACCTTTCAAAGCATATGTTAGATGTAGCTATTATTGTCCAAATATCAGTTCTGTTGGAAAAATTTCTATCTGACATGACTTAGTGTTACCCAGCCAACCTCTTAGGTGTCATTTTTGTTTTAAAACCAACAAACCTATTGAACAGTGTCCCAGACAACCAGCTCAGTCATACTGTACCTATGTACGCAAAACCACATGGGAAAATTAGTGTTGTCAACTCAGCCTCTCCAAAAAAGGGGACAACTCTGCGGGAGGCGTGGCCTARTGATGTAATGCATCAATTGTGATGTCACCACACAATATTTCTTATTTCCCCAGCATTTGAGGTACATCCCCCTAAACACGATTTGTTCTTGTTTCTGTTATTYCCATGTKACGTGATTGATTAACAATTTAAAACAAATTGGCCRAAAATACAGGACATCCCAGCTAATACGAGGAAGTTAGCAGCCCTACTCGAAATGTCCATAGCTAAAAGAATAGTTAAAAGAATATAGCTAAAAGAGATGAACAGATAGTTAAAAGAAGAAAACACTAACAAACATGTGAGTAAAACTAAAATATAGCTAATAAAAGTAAAAAGATAGCTAAAAGCTAAAAGAAGAAAATACTAGCATGTATGAACGAAGCTAAAATGTAGCTAAAAGAAGCTAAAATATAGCTAAAAGAARAAAACACTAGCAAACACAAATGAAGTGAAAAGATATCTATAACCCAAAAGTAGCAAAATGCTAGCTAAAGTCTAAAAGTAGCAAAGCATTAGCTTAAAACTACAAATAGCAATAGGGTAGATAAAATATGAGAAAGTAAGGTAGATGCTAAACATAGCAAAATGCTAAGTATAAACAAAATGTCAATTAAACCTAAAAGAAGAAAAATAATGGCTGAAGGTTTTTTGTTTTAGCTGTTTTCATTTGTGGGGTCCCCACAACAAGCAAACTGTCATGGAGCATTTGGCAATTGTTTTATGGCCCATGCCCTTCCTGATGCAACCTGGACTCGTACCCACAGTCTCAGGATTGCAGGACTGTGGCACTCACCGTTGGGCTAATGTGGTCCCAAAAAGCTAAAAGTAACAAAAGGCTCACCTAAAGCTAGCAAAGGTATCTTGCTTAAAGTATCAAAATGTTAGCTCAAAACTAAAAGTAGCATAAAATGTGGGGTTGGGGGCCTCATAGACAGGCTGAAGGGAAGTCAGATGTGGCCCGCGGGCCGCCAGTTGCCCACCCCTAGCTTAAATGTAAAAATGAAGCAAGCATGTTGAAGATTTCAAGGAACACACCGTTTATCAAAGTTCTGAAGAGATCTTAATACATTTCTGTAAGAAAAAAAAGTAAATAAAGTTAAAGATTTCAAAATGTATAAAAGTTACAAATACCCAAACTTTAAACAGTGAAATATCCTGAACAAACCAAACATTTGGAGACCAGAGTGTGTGAATAGCTAAAASTGTGTTGAAGTAGTTACAGAACACTATAACAAAATTACAGCATGAACAGGGAAACAGTAGTGTGAATGCTGACTCGGCATTTTGCTTTCTCTTGTGTCTTGGCAGGTCGCACTCACCGGTCCAATCAGGTGACGGCTCCAGAGTACATCTTCCTCATCTCCGAGTTAGCTGGAGAGAGACGTTTTGCTTCTATCGTGGCTAAAAGGCTGGAGAGTCTGGTAAACGCTGACTCCGTGTGTTTGTGTTTGACTGGATGTGCGCTTGTTGCTTTGCCCCACATGAAACATAACCATTTATTTTTAAGAGAATAAAATCTGTCTCGGGGGTACAGTTATCCTTTTCGTATTGTTATAATGCRCAACTTGAAAAGAGCTGTTTTACTGTAAACATATTTAATGTTTGCTTATTGTAGTTATGACTTCATTTCTCTGTCCTTCCTGTTCACTGGAAGGTTTTTTGCTTAAAGTTTGTCCACAAAACCTCTAAATAGTCTGCTTTTTTTCACCACTTTCTACATCGTATTAACAAAAAAAAAAACCCTGAAAAAGTAAAAGAACTTGTCTAAATGATTAATAAGACTGCAGTTATTTTTTCCCGTCATTATCGATGCATTTCTGCACCGGCAGTCAGCCGTGTCCATGGTGACACAGCATGACAGTTGTTTTATGGGGAAAAGGGCGAGCAGAGCAGGATGCGAGGGGATGGGGGTTCTAGGAAGTCGTTCCTGCATTTGCCAACAGTGTGTGGTAAATATGTGTGAAGCATGGGTCACGTCTCACACGGCTGCCTGATGTAACGTTTCAAAAGACAACAGATTCCAACTGCGTGCCTCTGGAACAAGCAGGTCAGGAAGGAAAGATGTTTTGTATTTTTATCCCGGGTGTTTTTTGTTTTTGTTTTTGTTTTGTTTTTCCTTTCCAGCAGCTGGCTTTTCTGTTGGCTTGGATTTGTCTAAAATTTCCTTCAGCTGTCGAAGTTTTGCATCTAAACTCAGTTTTTTACCAGCTGACCCAACCTCTCAAAATGCTAAAAGGGAGTGTTTATAAGCTGTGAATTATGGGAAATATTTAATACCAGCCAGCGTAAAAGCCAATCTAATTTTGTGTGTGTGTGCATGTTTTTGTCGTGGGGATTTTTTTTTCCATATGGGGACTAAAGCTCGGTCCCCATAAGTTTAAAGGCTGGTTTGGGGTCAGGGGTTAGGATTAGGATCAAGGTGTAAATTGAGTTTAGGTTTTGGGTCGGCTTATAGAAATGAATGGAGGTCAATGCAAAGTCTCCATGAAGATAGAATAATAAACAGGTGTGTTCATTTGCTTTTCTGTAAGTAAAATATTGAATGAAACACTGAACATGAATGAAATGAATCATTGCATATTCATCAAAACTGATCCAGTTTTGTATTCAGCACAGCTAAAGATGGCTATAACTCAGTCACTTTCACAGCTCCTGAGCTCATGTTTGATGTAGTMGTAGCTAGGAGTCRTCCCCTGCTCTTACTCAGAGTGCTAACAGATAGTTTGAAGCTTTGGCATCAACTCTTGGTGTTGAACTTTTCAATGTGCAAAATGTCTCATGAACCACTGGGTGATTTTTTTACAACACTCCCAGAAAGTAACCATTAGATTACATCAACAACTGATCCACGTTTTGGTGTCAGCCCCATTCAAGATGGCCTCCAATGCTAAGTAAATTTAGTAAACACAAGAATATCTATAAACCAATCATTTTACAGCTGTTCAGCTGCTACTTTGRTGCAGTAGTAGCTGAGAGTCATCCCTAACAGACTCAGAGTGCTAATATATMTCTCATGCAAAAATGTTTGGCACACATTTAGCTGATATTTTATTTTATTGTAAAAATGTAATCATTCAATTACACAGGGAAGCTCAGATTCACGTGGGGGTTATGTTCTTAGAGTACCTGCAAATTAGGGTTGGGCATAATCGTATCGTCTGCAATTAATCGTCAGAAAAACATTAATCGATTAGTTTTTAGCACTTGACGGTTAATACGATTAATGCCACCAGGCAGACTGACTGGAKATTTCCCCGGTCAGTCCGCTTGGTGCTCCTCTCCGCTTCAAACATGACGAACATTTAAACAAAAGTTCTGTAATTTATTTATCAACACAATTTAAAATTTGAAGTATAGCCTGAAGTCTGTGATTTTGACACAGTTTGAAAAAGATTTTTACGAAGAGCAAATCTTTCCCTATAAATTGGTCATGTGACTAGGACATAAGGGTGTCCAGGGACTCTGGGGGATTAATCGTCAAATTAATCTTTATGGGCTAAATAATTATCGTGATTAATTTTTTTGCCAATATCGCCCAACCCTACTGCAAATTGTGAATAAACATGAATATTGGATGTGGTCCAAAAAAAAAACCACGAAAGCTAAAGAGTTAGCAGCTGCACACACACTGTTAGAAGGTGGAAATGCTGTGCTCTGTGCAGAGCGTGCCAACAAGGCATGCGTCATGTACTACTGGATTGTTTTTTTATGGAACTGAATTTAAGATTCATGTTATTGAAAACTTTAGGGGAAAAAATTTGTCATTCCTCACTGTACAGAATTTACTGTATTTCCAGTTTCTGCAGTATCACAGGGATTACTGCAAACTACTAGTAGTTAGGTTCCATGAAAAAAATCTGCGAAAGACTGAAATCCGCAATTTTGTGTCTCAACAACAGAAATGAGTGTGTTTATCAGTATTTTTCTGAAGCTGTTAAAGGCTGAAAACCCAGTGCATACAATAGAACTAATAATAAACCTCCTGTTGATCCACCACAGGGAGCGTTGACCCATGGAGACAGACGAGCCACTGAATCAAGAGACCTGAGCAAGTACAATTTTGAGAACAAGGTTAGCACATTCAGAAACATTTTATATAAAAATGGTGTTAAATTTGAAGCTTTAAATGTTAAAATATGTTGTTTTTAACAGTAAGAAACTTTTTTTTTCAGTATGGTACYAAGGCTCTCGATAAAGTTACCAAAGCAATCCTTGGCCACATAGAGAACAAGGTGCCCCCTCCCAAAGGATACCCTGGTGGCGATGCCAGATTCTTTCAAGGTACCTTTTAAGCTTTCATTTCATTTTACGTCTTCAATCGTTTCCAGAGTTAAACCAGTAACAGTTTTGTTTTGCTTTATTTCTAGAAATCAAAACGGGAATGATGCACGTGGGCATCATCTGTAAAGAGCCTCGCTTTGGGATTAGCACTGAAAAAGGTACAGACAACAGACAAAACGTTTAGCTCAGCTGTGTTCAGGTGTCAGATTTAAACCGTGCAATGCTTTTCTTTGCTGTCTCAGACTGCAGCATCACTAAGTTTCTAAATCGCATCTTGGGCCTGGAGGTCCACAAGCAGAACTACCTGTTCCAGTACTTCACAGATAACTTTGACTATCTGATTGAGAAGGACAAGAAGGAGGGCAAATACGACATGGGAATTCTGGGTATGGTCTCAAAACACACCAAACAAACTGTGTAAATCGTATGGGAAATGTCTCGTCATTTGTTTYTGTATTTCAGTTGGTTTGTAATCATCTCCTGTTTGTTTTCTCACGACTCTTCCAGATCTTGCTCCTGGAAATGATGAAATTTATGAGGAGAAGCAGGAAACGTTCTTGACGGCTGGGAATCCTCAAGACGGACAGGTTGTTCTTTATAAGGTAGGCATCACATGGTCTGCTGTCAGCTGTAGGTCAGCAGAGGATCTGTGCCCTCAGCTGTGAGACTCTCGTTAGGGTACAGATAACCATGTGAACGCTGACTCAGCATTTTTTTCCTGTAAAATTTCTTCTGAATATTTTTTTAGACGTTCTTTTTTTTTTGTTGTTCAGCTCGCTCAGGACATGTATTCAATGACTTATAGTTTTTGTAACTTTTCAAAATACTTTTTGTAAACTTTTTTTACAAATATTTYCTGAATAGTAATACACTGAGATCTCTTCAAATAGGTTGTTCTCTTTAAAATCGGCTTCACTTGCTCTATTTTTGTCTACTTTTAGCTTTTAGCTACCATTCTGCTTCTTTTCAGCTAGTGTCCTGTAACTAGCTTTTTAATAAGCCCACCTGGGATGGGGTGCTTGGGTCTTACCAGGGGGGGACACAATGTTGCTCTATGGATTTGGTGGAACTAACCATGCAATGCCTCATTGCACCCTGGATTGCACCCTAAATTGCTCAGGGGTCCAGAGTTACACAAACCAGCAGCTCAGGGGCTCGACATCCATAGAGGAGGGGGTGCACCTCATGGGGGAAACACTGCATTATGTAACAAAACGAGAACTATTATCTTTTACC